TTTGTTTTAGTATTTATTGATAGAAATAGATGTTCAGTGCATACTTTTTGTGTAGATACAGTCTACATTCTTTTCAGGATTTCTCTTTTGGAGTTATTTGGCCTCCCAGTGAACTTAATGTATTATCTATGCATTTAATTCTTTATAGACTTTTTTTAGATTTTTATAAACTAAATTTGAGAAACCATGCATACTGTATGCCTTACTTAACCCAAAAAATTTTTTGTACATTTCAAGAAAAAAGCTTAACTCAATCTGTATGTTCTAATTTTCCCATGTTCCATTTCTGAATAAAGAAATACTCATTCAGTATTATATATTGCTTGCTAATAAGTCAGATTGTCAAAGACGCTTCAATAAATTATCTCTATTTCAAAATTATAACTTAATCTACTTCCAGAGAAGAGTTTATCAATATTAAACATTATGCCATATACAGTATTAGCCCAAAAGCTTAAATAAGAATCACATTTATAGTTTTTAGACAAGATATTTTAACCTTAAAATTATATATCTATATATACACCTAATGTATGTTGCATATTAAATTATCATTTCAGGCAACTTAAATATACATAGTAAACATTTAGCCCAAACATTCTTTGAAAGGCTTAGACATTAATGGCTAGACATAGTACTAAGCTTATGAAACTTAAAAACTCAAATAAAGTCTTCTGTAATATTATGAAAAGAGGAAGATTTTTAACACATTGAATTGTGCAGATACAAAAGTGCTTAGCATGACAAAATTACCAAAATAAAAACATTTTAAAGATTATTTGGTGCTAGCAATATTAACTATTCTGTACTTCTGGGCAAGTTAATATTTTTATTTTAAGTTTATATAAATTCTACTCTTGACAAGTTAAAAAAGCACACAAAAAATAGTTCAAACTATTTCATCCTGGTTAGCTCATTACAACTCAATGAAAGAATGTTTACACACTCAGATCTATTAAAATACAATATTTGAATAGATCCCTTTATTTCACTCATTGTTTGCTCTACTGGAATCTAAAACAGGCTGCCGACAGACTGGACAAGTGCAATTCTCTGACAGCCATCGGTCAATACAGTGAATGTGAAATTCGTGCATGCAGGGTAACTGCCTGAGCTTGTTTCCAGTTACATAGTCACTGATACAAACACTACAAATTTTACTTAGTTCATTGTCAATGCTGCTATGCTCATAGTTCCGGGTAGAAAGATTGTCAATCTGCTCTTTGGTTAAACCATGTATTTGATCATCGTCACTTTCGTTTAATAAAAAGAAGTGAGCAAGGCGAAGAATAGGTAGTGTTCCAGTTTCTAC